AATCTCCCTGGGTGAATTGAAGGGTGGGTGTGAGGAAGGTGGCGCCCACCACGTGCTGGGAGATGTTTAACAACTGCCTCCCCAGAAGCCAAAAGTAAAAAAAAAAAAAAAAAAAAAAAAAATCCGTGACTCACAGCGTCATCAGTTTCTATGGTGTAAAGCGTCCCGCTTTGGCTCAACTCGTATGACCAGTGACTTAACAGTTGGTTGTCCTGAGCTCCTGTGAGCTGGCCTGGCCCCCCCAGGACCGTCCACCTTCACAGGGTGGAGACGACCAGATACACCATGTGTCTAAGCTGAGACTTTCAACGATTCCTCAGGACAAAAGGAAAAAAAGGAAGCAAAACAAAACTTCTCTTCACGCAAGTGGTGGCTACGGAAAATGCTGCAGCTTGAGAGAAAAGTGAAAGTACGAGTCCCTCGATGTTTTCAAAGACAGCTAAGCCTTAAAGCATATCCTCTGAACTCGGAGCAAATACCTCAAATAGGTTCCGCAAATGACCATGAGGGGAATGAATGAGACGATGATCACTCAAAACGACAGTTTGATATTGAGGAAGAAAGTACAACAAAGTTAAGAATTCGTGTTCCTCAGGGGCTCCTGGCTGGCTCAGATCATAGGGCATGGGACTCTTGATCTTGGGGTGGAGGGTTTGAGCCCCTCGGGTATAGAAATTACTTAAAATAAGTTAATAAAATTTTTTTAAAGATTTTATTTAATAATTCATGAGAGACACAGAGAGAGAGGCAGAGACACAGGCAGAGGGAGAAGCAGGCTCCATGCAGGAAACCCGATGTGGGACTCGATCCCGGGTCTCCAGCATCACACCCTGGGCTGAAGAGAGCGCTAAACCCCTGCACCATCTGGGCTGCCCAGTTAATACAATTTTAAAAGAATTAGTGCCCATCAATGCATACTAGATGAAAGTTGAAAAAGAAAGGGCAAGACCTGAACATCTTTTGTGGGGGCCATTATTTTGTCTATCACACTGATAAACTCTTTCTGTTAAGCTATTCTCGATTTAAGTTTTTTAAAAGGTATTTTTATGATGCAGGATATAGTGTTTAGTTTTATAACCGGCAATGCTCTAGAGAGTACATGAATGTAGCCTCAAAGGATGCCCACAGTTGTTCACACGTGGATGCTAAGCAAGTATTTCATATTGGAAAGAAGAATGTGAAGAATAAAAGGAAGTCGTACAGAGGGAAATGCAGGTAAAGTTTTCTTTTACTCTAACTACCCGGGGGCCTTTAGATGGAAACATGACTCAGTCAATATTGCATGTGTTCCTGAACCCGCTTTGCCCTCTCTTCTCCTTGTGGCAAGTTTTGAGCTCCTCCAGCCTTTAGTTTCTCCCGGTGCTACCTGTGGAGTTCCAGGGCCGAGAGAATGTTCCCTCTTCCCTTGCACAGCTGCAGGGACTCTGCCTTGTCTTGTGCATCACAAACACTGTCCTGGGCACAGCTGTTTCTAACAAAGAGATCTTCAGAGACACCCAGACTTGAAAGAATGTTGCTATGTCCTGAGTGGTCAAAGCAGGATCTTTCAAAATCTAACTCTGCTTGGTCGTCTGACTTCTTAAAGCGTTAATAATGTGTGGCTGCGTAATAACCTATTAATGAATCTTCTGTCTTCTGCTACGTATAAAGTATTATGAACTGTCTTGGCAGCGCAGAAAGGTTCAGTGTATGAAGAGCTCGGAGGTGCTCAGACCTACCCAAGCCCCCTTTCAGCCTTAATGGACCCACCCCGACCACAGCCCTATGAGGCAGTCTTTTAGGTCTCAGACCCAGTGTCAGGGTCTGCGGGGATCTCCCACATGCATCACCAAGCAGTTCTCAGACACCAACTGGGTGTGCTAGAATTCCACTAAGTTCTGACACTCTCTACCCAGAGAGAGCACAGAACCCTCCTGTTAAGGAGTCAGTCCTAGGACACGATCTTTCCCCTTCACCTCAGCCAGGCAGATGTCAGTCCTAAACCCCCACTGCTCTGTGTGCTTCTGACAGACCCCAGACAGGCTGAAGGATCCAGCCACCTCCCCCTTGGGTTGGAATAATGTGCTAGAAGCTCCCAGGACTCGAGGAAACACTTACTTCTATTTACCAGTGTAATGAAGGCTATAGAAGAGGATACAGAGGAAGAGCCAGATGAGGTGATCCGGAGGACAAAGAATGGGAAAGGCCATAGGCCCCATGTCCTCGCAGGTCACCACTCTCCCAAGTCTCCATATGCTTACACCCTGGAAGCACTCTGAACCGAGGCCTTCTGGGGTTTTATGGAGGCTTCGTTGCATAAGGGATTACTTAAATCCTGGGGCATGGGGGATTGATTCAATGCTCCTGTCCCTGAACCGTCCCTCTAGTAAGAGGACGGAACAAAGTGCCTCCAATCATATGGTTGGGCCTCCTGGCAATCAGCCCCCATCCTTCGTGAGGTCCCAAGTCACCTCACAAACATCACTAAAGACCCCTCTGTATCTGTCAACACTTAGGCAATTCTAAGGGTTTGGGAGGCCACCACTGTGAAAGACCAAGAAATATGGGACATATTTCATCCTCAGAATGATCAAATTTTTATTTCTTATCCGTTGAACCTTGCAGGTAAGTGTGGTTATTCTTCTCATTTTAAATTCATGAAAATGCTCATCATGCTCTCTGTTGTCCCTCTGACCCTGGGATCCAGGCCTCCCACGCCTTCCTGGGTCACGGTGTCCTGTGGAACTTATTTTTTAACTTTGGCTTTCTGATTCTTCAAGCCTTGATCCCCTTCTCATCCACTCACATTAATTGCAACAGAGCAGATGGGGTCTCTGAGGCCCCTTAACAGCCTGGTCACGGGGTGGGGGGGCATCTACCTTATTTTGTAAACCAGGTCACTCTGAGAGTGAAGGGGTTGCCACTACTGATGAAGCTGACACAAGACGTCCTATGGGCATTGTCTCTGCAAACCTGGACACAGCGATTCCGGGGAGACCTGGGAGATCTCTCTAAGGCCTGGACATTCTGATGCCACCATGCCAGCATCTTCCTTCTGCATTAGACACCAGGGAATTAGCTGCCAGTCCCTAATATCTATTGTTCTAAGCAGGGCCCTGCAGAGATCTGAGTGTCCCTTCCAAGAAGTTTGAATACGCGATGTGACAAAGGATGAGACTACGCGGTGCTTGTTCACGTCCCTGTGAGGAGCGACTCTTGGTGTCTAGAAATTGCACTCACTGTCTCTGCAATGTCTCTATCAAAGAAAGGAAAGACTTGAATGCTGTGTGAAAGTGGGGGAGGGAGCATTCCAGCATAGAAGGGCCACAAAGGAGCAAAAGAATTGTCACAGGATGGGGTCACTGACCCAGAATTTCTGCCCTGGGGAGCCTATGTGAGCATCCAATGACCTCCTCCGGGAAGCAGCCCCCAAGCTCCCTGTCATCAGTGGCTGTGGAGGGTTGACAACTGCCCGTCTCCCCACATGTCTACTTCTACGACCCCGGGAGCCAAAGCAGCTCAGGGTCGTGGACTCAGTGGACCTAGGGACCCCCCTTTCCCAAGGAATGATTTGTGCGGGGAATATCCCAATGTAGCTTAGCATTGCCTTGGCTCAGGCCCACAGGGCAGAGAGATCCTTTGACAGTTGTCTGCCTACAGCTTCGGCTCATCATACCTACAGGAATTAAGATGAGACCCAGCCCCAGAAGTGGCATCACTCCCGCCCTGGCAGGCGCCCATCTCAGCCAATGATTCCCTCACGCTCCTGTAATCCTCGCCTGATTTGCTTGTCCTGGGTCAGCCTCCCCTTTGTAGTGTCCTGCTCGGATCCCTTCTAGTCTTGTAACAAGTCAGAAGTGGGCCTCCTGCTTCTTCTCTGGGTTACTGGTGGAGCATGAATCCCACCTCCGACCTGGCCACTACGGAGCATCTTCCAGCCTCTGGGCTGCCCAGTCTCCAGGATTTGCTGGCATCAGCCCTGCAGGCACTTGTCTTGTGTCTGCCAAGCCGCTGGTGTTCCTCGTCTGCCAGGGGCGCTCCAGGCAGCACCCCTGAGCCAGCACCCCTGGGCCGGGCCTTCCCTGCCCTACTGCCTGCGGCCTGTGGCCCAGGGCCTCACTGTGAGAAGGACCAGGTCTGTCCTCTGGACGCCCCATGATCGCCGCCACATCACACCTGCACCGTCCTCTCTCCCTGAGGAAATCTGATGAGCTCGGCACGTTCCTTTCACTTGAATGGGCAGGAAGGGGTCGGGGCGCCCACCGGGCCTCCCGGCCCCCGGAGCCCTGCACGCAGGGCCTTCCCCACACACCCTGACTAACCTCCCACGGGACAGCGCGGTCCTGCTCTTCGGGCCAAGCAGCCGCTCCCTCTGTTCTTGCGCTGCATCCCGCTTTCTCGGCTCCCTCCTGAATCTTCTATTCTGCTCAGCTCCCAGCCAGTGCTCTTTCGTGATGGTTTTTAGGATGTCATTTCTGTGTGACATGGGAGCCAGTATCTAGCCCCAGGTCGGTGTCCCTGGGCGGCCCAGTCCTCATCGGGCCTACAGAGGCGCCCCACAGTGGCCGGTCGTGATGCTCGGGCGTCTGGAGGACCTTCCCAGTGTCCAGGCCCCCCGCTGGCTGCTGGAAGCATATTGTCCTGGTCCTGAGGCTTTCCTGTCTCCCTCCCGCTCCCCGGGCCCAGCCCCAGGCTTCGCGCCCTGCAGTTGCCCTGTGCGCTCTCAGACCTTAGGCACTCGGGTCTCTTTTCTCTTATTGATCCCCCTTCACAGCAGTTGTGTGGGGAAGAAAACCTTTCCTGAGCAGCAGTGAGAGTGGAAAGAGGCTGGAAACCCCACGTTTGCCACACTCCCGGAATCTGCCAGATTGCACAACCTGGGAAATGAGAGGCTTCGAGGAAAAAGCCTGATGATCTGCAGCTGCCTCTGGCCTCGGGGAATTTCCCCCAGCCCAGTGTTTTCCCTCGTCCTGTCTTCCCATTCGTCCCCCTAGCAGAGCGTCTGTATATATGTGCTGGCACACGTCGCAGGCCGGAGGCCAGGGCAGCTCAGCCTCACCAGGAGCCTCCGCGGGGAGGGACAGCCAAAGGTGAGGTCCAGAACCTTCCAAGCGGTTCTTCCTGGCAGGTTCTCTTTCCCCACAGCGTTCCTGTGCTGGGTCCCAGCTCTCTGCTCCTTTCCTGAATCCATGATCCTGACAATGAGGATTCAGCAGATGTGAATACTTTCTGGGACTGGGCTTTAGTCGTGATCGTCCCCTGTGGGCCTTCGGGGGTGGGTACAAGAAGCACCTGCAAGTGTGTGGGCATCGTTTCGCTCTTGTCAAATGCCCAGAGGCCTCCTCGGAAGCTTCCTGTCAGTGGGTGTGAGGGCTCATAGGGCAGGATTGAAAGTGGTGTGTGTTGGAAGTGCCGTGCAGGCTCTCATCCTGGGATTCCCGGGAGGCAAGTGGAAATGGAGACGTGGACCCCCTGGAATTCTGTCTGCGTAGCTATGTATCACCTGCTCACCCTGCTAATACACGCTGTCCACTTCCTTCTCCATATACCCCCCCACACGGATGCATGTACACGGGTGTATAGGTACACGTATGTGTGTGTGTGTGTGTGTGTGTGTGTGTGTGTAGACATGAAGGTCACATTCCCCCATGAAAAAACCAAACCAAACGAAAACAAAACTCGTCTCCTCTTTGTGTGTCCCCAGGACTCTGCAGCAGGATGAAGCTTCTCGTGGGCATCCTATTGTGCTCCCTGGTCCTGGGCGTCAGCAGCCAGAGATGGTTGACATTCCTAAAGGAAGCGGGTCAAGGTAAGGACCAAAGCATGGGGGTCATGGGGAGACCGCACTTGGCCTCCTTCGGAGTTCACCTGAGCGGGGGCCACATCCACACAGGGCTGGGGCCTAGAGTGGGAAGCACAAAGCATGGTATGCAAGTCAGCAGTTTCCTCGGCCATTTTTATTTATTATTATTGCAATACAAGTGACATATAACGTTATATATAATTAAGGTATATGTCACATTAATTTGATGCATTTATATATTTGATTGCCTTTGTAGCTATAATTAGCACCTCTACTATATTATATAATTATCCTTTTTTTATAGTATTTGAAATAATTAAGTTTGTGGCACCTGCAGGTCTCAGTTGATTAAGTGCCTGTCTTGGGCTCAGGTCATGACTTCAGGGTCCTGGAATCTTGCCCCATGTTGAGCTCTCTGCTCATTGGGGCCCTGCTTCTCTCTTTCCCTCTGCCTGCTGCTCCCTCTGCTTGTGCTCTCTCTCTCTCTGTCAAATAAATAAATAAATCCTTTTTTTTTTTTTTTACAAAAGAAATAATTAAGTTCTAGAGTATAGCAAGCTTCATAGTTATAATAATACATTGTTTGGTGTCCATTATACTGTGTATCAGATCTCCAGGCCTTACTTCCTCCTTGTGCTTTTTCCCCTGACACCTCATCTGTCCTATCCCACCACCCCTGGCTTTTCTGGCCAGCATCGCCCTCTTCCCTGGGGATCCCCTTGCCTGAGGTCATACAGGGTTTGTCCTCCACTTGCAGCAGGAGCAGAAAAAGATCTGGGGTCCCTGGTGCCTGCTCCCTATTCCGAGTGGACTCTAGTGCCGCCTGGTGGGAAGGCAGGGACAGCTCATGGCTGGGTCTCAGGCAGCCTGAAGTGGGTGCATCCAACTTGTGCACCTAGTAATTACATCCAAGAGTAACTGAGCTTGGCCGTCCTAGGTGCTGTTCTGAGAGCTTTACATGTATGGATGAAGTCGTTTTCATCCTCAGGTTTTAATCTTTAATCCTGGGATGTAGGCACCATCATCCCTTATTAGAGGACCTGAAGCAGAAAGAGATGAAGAGTCCTAACAAAGTCCCCACACAGAGCAGGATTTACCCCAGTGCTGGCGCTCCCAGAGCTTCCTGTGACAGGACTACCCTGCCTCCCAGACCAGAGAGCACATGGGAGAGTGAGGGGCCTGTGAACACATAATCCTCTTGCTCATTTGCCCAAATGCCAGATAGTCAGGCTGTGTTGCAGGCAGAAGGCAACTCTGAGAGCTCTCTCCCCCAGTCGAAGGCACAAGGAATTACATGATGATGGCTCTTCTGGCCTGGGTCCTGGCTGGGCCGGAGAGAAGAGATATACCCCTTATTAGGCAGGGTCAAGAGGCCAAATTTGCTTATTTCACTAAATCATTTCTTTTGAGTTTTCTGTGATGGCCAGTGGCTATTGCTTTAAGACTTTGCTGTCAATCCTTTCTAAATTCTCACAGGCACAGCTACAATTTTTTTTTTTTCATCTTAGGTCAAGGTTTCTCAAAGGGTCATTCTAGGGCCACTTGCCCCTATGAGAATCACCTGGGGCTTGGGGTGCTTTGTGAAATGCAGATGCCTGGTCCACACACACCCCCTCTGCTGAATCACAGTTTCCGAGGCTGAGCCTGAAATCTGGCCTTTAGCAAGCACCCAGTGGGTGTTTTCCCACTCAAGATTGGGTACTACTACCTGCAGTCTTGCTCCCCGAGTGACAGATATGTCGGGCATTTGGAAGCACTTCTAAAGCAAGCGGCCCCAGGCATCTATTGAATCCGTAACTCGGAGGGAATCAGTATAGTCAGAAGGTTGTGCTGCTCAACCAAGTGATCTTTCTGAGCACTGGGAATGAGAAATACATGAAATGAAGATAGGGGCGTGGCCGATATTACGCAAACTATGACGACCACTCGACCGAGGTTTTTCTCTTTTGCCTAGTCCAGCTACTTTCTAGAAGTCTTCATGTGGTTACTGAGTAGTCTACTGAGGCTCCTTCAGTCCATAACTCTCTGGCCTTCCTCTTAGCCTAGTCCCGCTGCTGGTTTTGTCCCAGCCTTCCTAAGGCCTAGTGAGGTGATAACGTATTGAGCACCTACAATCTTCTAGAAGTTATATGTGTATTTTCGCATTTCATTGCATAACCACTGTGGGGAAGGCGATACTCTTCCATTTATGGGGAGGACACTGAGCTTTAGAGCTGGCGGGTCAGTTGCCCTTTTTATGCATCTGGTGACTCGATTTCTGTGAAGCCGTTTTGGGGAGCTCACTTTTTCAATTCTATGAATGATTGAATTCTGACAGTTACCTGGAGGCCAAATACACCCCGGACCTTCAGAAGTAGGTAGGACTGAGTTGTCTTCATGCTGCCCACAGGGATGAATTTCTCCCCTTGACTAGGCTGGGAGCCCCCTGGGGCAGCAGCCGCCCTCACCCTCTTGCTTTGTCCTCATGCCCCAGCGGGGAGGGGGGGGGTCCCTTGTCTTTCCAGGTAGAGGTTCATTGTACAAGGAAGCATCCCTTAGAGACCATCCCACCCTTGTTCACACACATCACACAGAGCCAAAAGCCAAGTATCTACAGTACTTAGGATGGAATCAAAGAGAATAAAACATGTATCCAGTGCGATTCTTGTAACATTAACTCAGGGGAGTGAAGAGTTAAGGAATATTTCTCCCAGCCAAGATCATCTCCAAGGGTTTTGTCAAAAACTGAAATCTTAGATTCAGTGGGAGGAAAACCTTTTCTCTATTTTCCAAGAGATAATCACCTTTAGTTTCCTTCCTTTCTAGGGACTAGAGACATGTGGAGAGCCTACTCTGACATGAGAGAAGCCAACTACAAAAATTCAGACAAATACTTCCATGCCAGGGGGAACTATGATGCCGCACAGAGGGGCCCTGGGGGCGCCTGGGCTGCTAAAGTGATCAGGTAACTGGACCCTTTGGGATGCAGGGATGGGTGAGCTGAGCATGTGTGTTGTGGACAGCTAGGAAGACCAAGGAGTGATACCCACCTTCCCCCTATGGGCCTGGGTTACCAAGCACAAGGAAATTTGCCAGGCTGAGTTGGCCTGTGCCCAGAAATGAGCAGTGTTTTAGTCCCTCTAAACTTGGCTTATTTTAGTCATTAATTTGTTAGAAAGAGGAGAGATAGGAAAGATGGAGGTGTTGCTCATCAGTCCCTGATTAAACCCATTTGCCTTTCTCTATTCCAGTGACGCCAGAGAGAAATCTCAGAGAATCACAGATCTTTTTAAGTTTGGAGACAGTGGCCATGGAATAGAGGACTCGAAGGCTGACCAGGCTGCCAACGAATGGGGCCGGAGTGGCAAAGACCCCAACCACTTCCGACCTGCTGGCCTGCCTGACAAGTACTGAGCTTCATTTCAGTTCTGTCCTCAGGAGCCAGTCTATGAGCCCCCTAAAGGCAAGAACACTTGTTGAGTTAGAGTTGCTGAATTCTGTATTCTTTCTACTCAATAGTTTAGAAGGAGCACATAAAAATGTTTAATAAATGCTTGCAAAATTCGATCTGTCGTTGTCATCTGGAAACACCAAATAACAATCCTCCTAAGTACCATTGCTACCATGGATGTGGTCAATTTACCTTATTTTTTTTTCAGAGGAGATAAATTCTAATAAAGAATAATACTAATTTGGGGTGAAAGTATATGTTCATAATAGGGACCATACTATATAGACTATATTTGGACCATACATGTCAGTCTCTGAGACCAAGATGGATTTTACCCTAGTTCTCAACAGGATAGCACTGCAGCCATATGCATCTCCAACTCCAGGTTTTGGATCTATCTTGGGGTACTTTTGGTTGACCTGGTAATTGCAGGGCATCTGGTGGGTGGAGCAGAGTTACATACAGCTTACTTTTATGAGACAGTGCTACAACCAAAGAGCCATCCTAAATCTTGCTTCACTTTTGCATTGTCCCTTCACACATGCATTTAGGTAGAATCAGATTTACTGTGAATCTGATGAAGCTTGAGCATCAAGGGTTCCCCACTTATATGGGATCATTCCAAGATCCTCGGAGTGGCTCTGGGATGGGATTCACATGGGCAATTCCTTTTGTAAAATCTGTAGAAGTAAACTATTGTAACTAAAGCAGTTAGTGCCTCTGTTCATGCCAACATCCCACCATCATTTTTCTGCTTGTGTTGAATGGTACTGTAGTGGGCACAGGCATTTTGGGGCATCTGACTAAGAAGAAGTTGAATTGGCAACATAATTGGTTTGCACTTAGTGGGACGTACTTGCATAGTTTTCAGTCATTTCTGAGTAAAATTATTTATCACTACCCTGGAGTAGGAATGGCCTCTACGTATGCTCCATCATCTACTGTGGTTACTCCTGGTGCAGGAGCAGAGGTCATATGACAAAATGAACATGTCCTGCACAGCCCTGCACAGAATACGTGGGTGGTTGGGAAGAGACAACTTTGAAATGTATAGTCAAGCATGAGTCTATGGAGAATTATAAGATCATAAATGGAAGATTTTTATTTTGATGGGATCCCAGTTAAAATGGAAGTTCTCCTCCTGAGAGAGGTTTTCCAAATTTCACAGTGCTCAAATTATATAAAATATTACCAGTAACAAATTGTGAAGCTAAAAGAAACTTTCAAATATTTTTTTTAATCAAGCAACCATGCTCAGAGTAAAGACAGAATTATTTTTTAATTTTTCATTATAGGAAATGACCTTATAAGGTCATTGTCATATGAAGAGAAGATTAACGTGAACTCAGTAAAAATATATTAAAAATTAAAATTATATTAAAACAGGATTTTTAGGGCAGTGAAAGTACTCTGCATAAAGCAATAATGGTAGATATATGTCGTTATAAATTTGCCCAAAGCCATAGAATGTGCAACACCACGAGTGAAACCTAATGCAAACTCTGGGTGAATAATGATGCACCAATGTAGGTTCGATAATTGTATCAAATATTCCACTTTGGTGTGGAATGCTAATAATGGATGTGGCTATGCATAGGGGCAGGTATAAGTTATATGGGAAATTTCTATACCTTCTGCTCAATATTGCTGTGAACCTAGAACTGATCTAAAAATAAATTCTATTAAAAGTAATATAAAGGGTTGAAGTGTGTCATGCTGTTTATTAATAATATTTTTTTATATATTTTGTGATGTCTTACATATTTTTGGCTATTTCAAAATTGATAATTTTTTCCCATTCTAAGTAAATATCTCCTATTGTTGCTAATTTAATATTTGTAATTTTGTGTTGTCTTTCCTAAAGGGAGGTGCCCAAATTGCATAATTCAGGCCTCAGAAAACCTGAGTCTGACCCTACACATACAGTGAAAAAAATCTTCCTAATTATTTGAGCCTGGAACTCTACTGTATTTCACATAGTAAAATATATATTTTACATAGTAACAGAATATTTTTTTGCCCAGTTTTAATAAAAGCTAACATTTCCTCAAAATGCAATTGCTTGGTAAATTGGAACTTTGTTTTGGTAGAAATTTTCACATGCTCCATTTATGATTTTGAGAAGCACAGCCCCCTGATGGAATCACACTGCTATTACTCTTCTGTGTAACTGTTGGGGTCACACTGACTTGATGTACATGTGCTAACAGAGACCTCTATTATGTCTTCTAGTGTTGAAAATATTAAAATACATATTATTTTATTTTATATTAGTTTTATTTCTTCTTTCTGTTAGGGAACCCCATCGATATTTTTGGAATTCAGGTTGAGGTTGATAGTAGCATCTATAAATCTCTTTCATCCAAGTAAAAGTAGGTGTGATCAAGTATCCCCTGCGGGGTGGGGGGCGCACCGGGCTGAGTACCACGCAACTCATAGAAGCAGGAGCTGAAAATACGGGGAGTTGTCATACTGACGTTCTTCCTGGTGACCTATGCCTGTCCAAGGGTTCCATCCACACCTGGGGTCTCAGAGGGAGGCGCATTGAGGTCAAAGAGGCCAAAGGTGCCTGGAGGTCCGGGCTCCGACAGCCTGGACAGCCACCTCTGCACCCGACTTGCTGTTCCTGCTCATCAGGAGGAGATGGACTATCTGGTCCAGTGGGGAATATAAAAAATAGTGAAAGCACCAAAAAAAAAAAAAATGGTGAAAGGGAATAAAGGGGAAAGGAGAAAAAATGAGTGGGAAGTGTCAGAAAGGGAGACAGAACATGAGAGACTCCTAATTCTGGGAAACGAACTAGGGGTGGTGGAAAGGGAGGTGGGCAGGGGGTGGGGGTGACTGGGTGATGGGCACTGAGGGGGGCACTTGATGGGATGAGCACTGGGTGTTATGCTCTATGTTGGCAAATTGAACTCCAATAAAAAATGTAAAAAAAAGAAAAAAGTTATAAATGTCTTTTGTTCAGTTAAAAAATAAAAAATAAATAAAAAATTAAAAAAAGGACAAAGGAGTCAACTTAAAGGAGCTCCTATTGTTCACCTGAAGATAGTTGAACCTGAGAAGAAAGGATGAGAGGAAAAGTGATAATTGGGGTTCATTGAAGTAAATTAAGGCTGTTGAATGCTGTGAGACTTTTCAATACATAAAGATAAAAGTTTTTTTTATTATTTTTTTTATAAAGGTAAAAGTCAATATAAAGTGCACAGATGGCTTGTAATAGAAAATAATGTTCTGAAAATGGATTTTAATAAAAAGGGAATTGTTTAAAAAAAAAAAAAAGGAGAGAGAGAGGGACAAATGGCAATTCTGGAGCCGGCTGGGCGTGCTCGGGTCCCAGGAAGGGCGGGGGAGGGAGGGGGGGTCAAGGCCTCTGCGCAGCCGAGCTGCGAGCCGCGAGCACCGCGGGGCTCCGGGCGGCAGGGGGCGCTGTGGCGGGAGCCGCGCGGGGCGCGCGGGGCCCTCTGGCGCCAGGAGGCCAATCGCCTCCTCCCGCCGCTTCCGGCGCGGCTCCTCCGGGCGGGCGGAGGCCGAGGCATGGACCGCAACCCTTCGCCGCCGCCGCCGCGTAGCGAGGAGGACGCGGACGCGGACGAGGACGTGGCCGGGGGGGACTGCATAGGGAGCACCGTCTACAGCAGGCACTGGCTCTTCGGCGTCCTCAGCGGGCTCATCCAGGTGCGGACGGTGGCGCCTCGCGGGGGCCGCCCCCACCCCTCCCCCTCCCCCTCCAGTCCCCCTCCCCCTCCCCCTCCAGTCCCCCTCCCCCCCCACTCCTACCCCATCCCGCCCCCCCCCGCCCAGTCCCCCCGCCCCCGCCCAGTCCCTCCTCCCCCGTCCCGCCCCCCCGCCCAGTCCCTCCTCCCCCGCCCAGTCCCCCCTCCCCCCTCCACTCCTACCCCGCGCCCTCCACCCCCCGCCCAGTCCCCCCTCCCCCCCTCCACTCCTCCCCGTCCGTCCCCCCGCCCGCCCCCTCCCCCCTCCACTCCTCCCCCGTCCCCCCTTCCCCCTTGCTCAGTCCCCCTCCCCCCTCCACTCCTCCCCCGTCCCGCCCCCCCGCCCAGTCCCCCCTCCCCCCTCCACTCCTTCCCCGCGCCCTCCAGCCCCCCGCCCCTCCCCCTGCTCAGTCCCCCTCCCCCCTCCCCTCCTCCATCCCCGCCCCCCGCCCCGCCCCTTCTCGGCCGGCGCTCAAGTGCCGGGGGACCCCACCAGCTCCCGGCAGCCCTCCACGCCCAGGGCAGTGCGGCGGCCAGGACGCGGGAGTGCTGACGGTTGACACCGTTTACTTCTGCACGTTCCCCGGAGCGTCTGGGCGCGTAAATACGTGGCTCGGCGTTTTGCTCCTTTCCCTCTGTGTCGCCTCTGAAGCTCGGGACCTAACTCATCTGGTGGACTCTTGTCGCAGCAGAATGAATGGGGCGCCCGGGTGGCGCAGCAGGTTGGCGCCGCCTTCGACCCAGGGCGTGACCCAGGGCGTGACCCGGAGACCTGGGATCGAGTCCCGCGTCGGGCTCCTGCATGGGGCCTGCTTCTCCCTCTGCCTCTCTCTCTCTCTCTCTCTCTCTCTCTGTTCTCATGAATAAATAAATTTTAAAAAAGAATGAATGGGGTGATTCTGGAGTCCTTGCAGCTCTGATGCGGAAAGCGTGGCTTCATCCCCTCACGCTCCGAGCCTCGATTTCTGTCTCCGTTTCTATAAAGTGCGACAAAAACACCTTGTGTACGGGGGTATTGTGCAGGTCATCGTAGGTAGGTAGAGTGTGCTTACCGTGGCGCTTGGCTGATGAAGTTCTCAATAAATGTGAACCTTCTTCACCTGCGTTTCGGGGACTTTTTTTTTTTTTTTTTTTAGATTTTATTTATTCATGAGAGACACAGAGAGAGAAGCAGCCGAAGGTGGGACTCGATCCCAGGACTCCAGGATCACTCCCTGGGCCGAAGGCAGGCGCTAAACCCGCAGAGCCACCCCGGGATTCCATTGGGAACTTAACCTACTTTCAGTCCGTTCTCTCCAGCGCATCTACTGCATGGCTGCAGGAATAATCAGCTCTAAGCAAACCAAAAAAAAAAAAAAAAAAAATCAGGCCGTCCATGGAAACTCATTTTGGTTCTCTTT